GAACGGGGAAGAAAGGAGACAGGAGAGAAGAGAAGAGTCCCCTCCAAGTTGGCTCCCAGGTTGCCAGACGCTAGGAGTAAGAAGAAACATCAGTACATTCTGCGCACTCACAGAGTGGGGTCTGGCTACTACCACGGGGCCATACCCTGACACAGGGTCAGACACCAGATGCGTCTTCTCGCCCCTCCCTGGCCAAGATGGGAAACAGCCTTAAGCCTTTGCAAGAAGAGAGGGAGGCTGGGACAGAGGGTCACACACACCCACCTCTGCTGACAGGCAGAGAGGAGGTGCCCAGAGCACCCCAGCCCCAACCTCCGACCCCCAGGCTTCCCAGAAAAGCTGAGGCGGTTTAGGGGACTTAGCTAGCAAGAGATTCCCTTTTTGATTTTCTATTTAATTACAACAAAGAGGCAGTCTCAGTGTGGGCTAAGCTCTCTTCTTAACGTAGGGAAAACAGTCCTAAAAATTCACAGCCTTCAGGAAGCCACAGAATCCTGGACAATTTAATAACATAGTGTTTCCACCAGGCGCAGTGGCTCATGCCTGTAATTCCAGCAGTCTGGGAGGCTGAGGTGGGCAGATCACTTGAGGCCAGGGGTTTGAGACCAGCCTGGCCAGCATGGTGAAACCCCGTCTCTACTAACAAAAATACAAAAATTAGCCAGGCATGGTGGTGCACACCTGTAGTTCCAGCTATTCAAGAGGCTGAGGCAGGAGAATCGCTTGAACCTGGGAGGCAGAGGTTGCAGTGAGCTCAGATCGCACCACTGTACTCCAGCCTGGGCGACAGGGCGAGACTCCATGCCAAAAAAAAAAAAAAAAAAAAGCTGTGTTTCATTACCCGCCTCTGGGTGTACAGTATTTCTTTTTAGGAGTACCTTCTCTCTACAGGGAGTTAAATTGATTTTCTATTAATGGTACTGATAAATTTTTTAACATAATATAAATTACAAAGAGCCAATTTAAAGAAAAGATGAAAGTATTCAGTCGAATGCCATAAAATAATTGGCAAGACTTTTCCAACAAAAGCAGCAGGTACTATTGAAATATGGCAAAACAAATTTTTGAACAAGCAGCATGTAACTTTTTTTTGAGACAGGGTCTCACTCTGTCACCGAGGCTGGAGTGCAGTGGTGCAATCATGACTCACTGCAGACTCGACCTCCTGGGCTCAAGCAATCCTCCTGCCTTAGCCTCCCAAAGTGCTTGGGTGAGCACTTTGGGTTTCAGCCACCACACCCGACTGGCATGTAAACATTTGACCCTTTGACACAACATCTGATCCATATGCTGTCGGGAGCTGGGGCTCCAGGGTCCCCCAGCCTTTGTGTTCCCAGACCAGGACAGGGGCTGCCAGAATGGCCATACCTGAGCGGAAGGTGACATCAGAATAGGATGAGTGTTTCCACATTTCCGGGTGGAACTCCTGGCTGAGGATGTCCTCAGGGAGGGTGTCCCGGAGGGCTCGTTTCAGGGGGTCGTGCGTCTCCAGCAGCTGCAAGAGGTGACTCCACACAAAAGAACCCACTGGAATAGAGTCGTGGCCAGTGGGGAGGGGCCATCAGGAAAGTGCCAGGAATGCTGTCCAGAGCAAAGGCCCTCCCGACCCCCGATGCAGTCCTGCAATTCCCACACACGGGGGCTTCTCAGGAGCCTGCCTATGGAGACCTATGTCTGCTCTCAAGAAAGAGCAGCAATGAAGAGTCATGCCTGAACAGAACTTGGAAATTCAGCCCGTGCATGGAACTCTGACGCTTTCCAGAAGACAAAGGAAGGTATTACAGGCTCGAAAGTCAGACCTGAGTCTGGACCGGGCGCGGTGGCTCATGTCTGTAATCCTAGCACTTTGGGAGGCCAAGGTGGGTGGATCACGAGGTCAAGAGATCCAGACCATCCTGGCCAACATGGTGAAACCCCGTCTCTACTAAAAATACAAAAATTAGCTGGGCATGGTGGCGCATGCCTGTAGTCCCATCTACTCGAGTGGCTGAGGCAGAACAATCACTTGAACCTGGGAGGCGGAGGTTGCAGTGAGCTGAAATCACACCACTCTCTCCAGCCTGGTGACAGAGCGAGACTCTGTCTTTAAAAAAAAAATCCCAGCGACTCAGGAGGCTGGGGCAGGAGAATTGCCTGAACCCAGGAGGCGGAGGTTGCGGTGAGCCGAGATCGCGCCATTGCACTCCAGCCTGGGTAACAAGAGCGAAACTCCGTCTCACAAAAAAAAAAAAAAAAAAAAAAAAAAAAAAAAAGCTGTGTGACCTCAGGGGGGTCCCTCTGTCTCTCTCAGCCTCAGTTTCCTCATCCGTGAAAATGGGAAGTCAGATCTGATTTCAAACCCTGGTTTCACCATGTACCAGCGTTGCCTGAGATGGTCACGCCAGCTCTTGGAACCATAGTTTTCTCATGTGAAAAAGGAACTAACAAAGTACCTCACAGGGCTCTTTGGGAAGATCAGTTAAAAGCAGAGCCTGGACCTAGAAGACTAAGTATGTTTCAGGATTGACTGGTGAAGTGTGACATGTGATCCATGAGGGTCCCTGGAGGGATAAAGACCAAATGAGAGCCTCATGCGACTGAGTCCAACGGTGAATATTAGAGTCCTGCAGGGAACCCCCAACCCTCGCCATTGTCCCAGGCTCTCAGAAGGTCCAGCCAGGGGCTTCTGGAACAATCTATCACAGAATAGAGCAGAATACGGGTTTTTAGGCATAAGGTGTCCACTCATTCCCACTGGGCAATACGTCAGGTGGTACCCCAGGGCCACTGTGGAGGCTGAGCCCCTCGGCTGATCCCGAGGAGGGGTGTAGCACACTTCATACCCCATGCCTGAAATTGCCAACAGAGACAGCTGTGTCTTTGAATAGTGCCGTCTCTTCAGAAGGTAATTCAACAACATCACATCAGACTTTTCAACGTGCATACCCTTTGCCTTGGCAACTTATCTTCTGGGAAATTATCCTAAAGTGAGATTAACTCAAGGGACAAAGGTAGCTGTGCAGGAAGATTTGTGGCTGTTGTTTCTAATGGCAGAAGACCAGAAACAGCCTAAATGCCTATCAGCGGAGACTGGTAAAATGGATTATGGTACAAACATCCAGCAGAACACCGACACAGCCATAGATGAGAATGTATAAGTACCATAGATGAGAGATGAGCTCCCAGACATGTTGAAGCCAAAAGGAGCAGGCTGGGCCCAGTGGCTATCACCTGCCATCCCAAGCACTTTGGGAGGCTAAGCTGGGCGGATACCTGAGGTCAGGAGTTCCAGACCAGCCTGGCCAACATGGCAAAACCGTCCCTACCAAAAAAACACAAAAGTTAGCCTGGCATGGTGGCATATGCCTGTAATCCCGGCTACTCAAGACGCTGAACCAGGGGAATTGCTTGAACCCAGGAGGTGTTGCAGTGAACTGAGATTGTGCCACTGCACCCCAGCCTGGGTGACAGAGTGAGACTCTGTTTTTAAAAAAAAAAAAAAAAAAAAAAAAAGGAGCACAACAGCAAGTAGAACATGATCCTGAGATGCTGTTGTTAAGGAGATACATGAGTATGTTCATCTATGTATTACAAGTTCTGATGTGATACTCAGGAGAATTTGGTGATGGTTCTAATGGCAAAAGACCAGAAACAGCCTAAATCAGAATCAGGTCCCATGGGGGACCTGGTTCACAGTGAGTATCTTCAGGACACAGGAAGATATTGGGGGGAAGAGGAAAGAGGACTAATTTTTCTCATTTGTCCCTTGCCTATGCTTTAAAATTTTGACCATGTAGCTATACTGCATTAATAATAGCAGCAGTGGTGATAACAACATTAAAAGCAACAGTCACACATATGGCACTTACTATGTGTTCTAAATGCCTTTGTGTATTAACTCATTTTATGCTTGCATCACTATGAGGGAGGTATTAGCATTATCCCTATTTTATAGGTACAGAAATGGAGGCTCATGAAGGTTTTCTTACTTGTCCCAAGGCATACAGGAAGGAAGTGGTAAAGCTGGGATTTGAACCTGGGCTCTCAGGTTCCAACCTCTCACTCCACTGTATATTATGGAAATTTTTTTAACAATCAGTTGAACTTATTTTTTTGAATTTATATCTTTGGGTTCAGGTGCTAGTATAAAGGGAATTGTCTCCTTCCATAAGAGATCTCAGATTTGCACATGCTGTCCCTCTTCTTAGGTCTCCCTTTAGATACTGTGTCATGATCTGGCCAGAGCTAAAAGAGGCCTCTCTGACTCCCATCACATTTTACAGATGAGGAAACTGAGGAACAGAGAGGAGAAGTAACCTCTTCAAAGTCATCCAGCAGCAGAATGGGGACTGGAATTGCCATGTAGCGGAGGGAGGAATACACAGCCCCTCATCTAGACAGTATGGTAGAGAAACAGGGGGACAAGAATACAGAAGGATGCCAGAGGCGTGGAGGATGAGGATGCTCTCAACAGCCCTGCACTCTCCGGGAGGTGCCCTATCAGCCCACCCCTGCCTGCCCACACCCCTCCCACACACACATCCATGGCTCACCCTGGGTGGACAGCTCGCCTGCCTGGGTGCGCCGCACCTGAGCAAACACCTCTTCACTGGGGCATCTCATCAGGGCCAGGTAGGCATTGATACGGATCTCAACATCCTCCTCCGGGGATTGGTACAGATGGGAGAGCGCTGATCGCTGGCTTGGGCAGAAGGCAGGCCATCACCAAAGGCCCACCTACCTCCACCCAGGAGGATGATGTCCCTGGCTCCAGCAGGTGAACGTGCTGCCTAGCCCCAGCTATGCTGATATCCCCACCGTAGGAGGCTTCCCTGACACACTCTCACCTGTGGCCTAGTTGTGGGAGGTAGCAGAAGTTCACTGACCTTGTCTAATTCCCAGTCTCTACCAGTCCCAGCCTAGCGCCTCATCAACTCCCCAACAAATGGGCATGGCTACAATCCAATAAAACTATTTACAAAGATAGCACAGTGTCCTGCCACACGGGAGGTCTTTAAATGTCTTGCCATTCCTGGGTCCCTTCCTAAGCAAGCCACCTCCCCATACTGTGACTCCCTCAATACCTACTGGCTGCCTCCACAATCAGCTACCCACCCACCCACCGTCCTACCCACTCATCTATTCATTCACCCATCTACCCAACTGTCTATCCACCCACCTATCATCCATCCACCCACCCATTCATCCATGTAACAAATATTAACTGAGCAGCAACTGTGCACTCAGCACTGTGCTAAGTGACAGCCATAAGCAAGTCCAACCCAGCCCCTGTCCACCTGAAGCTGGCATTCTAGTGCAGGGAGACAGTCAATGAGATTAGCATGTGAAATATGTAAAAAGTTAGGTGGTAATAAACCCTATGGAGGGAAAAATAAAATGGGGAAACAGAACCAGAGCCCTGGGGGATCAGGGAGGTTCAATTTCAAGTGAAATTGTCAAGGGAGACTGCACAGTGAAAGTGACTTTTAAGCTAAGACCTACAGGAGGTGAAAAAGAAAGGGACATCAAGGGGAAAAGTGTACCAGGAAAGGGGACAGCATGTCCAATGGACCTGGGGCAAGAGAGGGTCACAAGTGTTTGCGGAAGAATAGAAAGAGGAATGTGCTGTGGAGGAGGGGTGAGAAGTGACAGGAGCAGGTGAGGCCCAGAGGTCAGTCCCTCAGGGACTGGGAGGTCAATGAAGGGACGGTGACTTTGACTCTGAGTAAGAAGGAAGGTACTGGCCCAGGGATTAGCAAATTTCTTCTGTAAAGGGACAGCAAACTCTCAGATTCTGCACCCATTCGGTCTCTTGCAATGATTCAGCTCTGCAGGTGAAGCAGGAAAGCAGCCATAGACAGCACATAAGTAAGTGAGCATGGCTGTGTTCTAATAAAACTTTATTGACAAAAACAGACAAAGAGGGCCATGAAGTGGCCCATGGCCCATAGTCTGCCAAACCCTGTACTAGAGGAAGCATGGATGGCATTGGTAATTATACGGTTATTTGTGCATTTGATGAATAATCTGCTTCCCACACTAGACACAGGCTTAGACCTGGATACCTGCTCACACTAGTACCCAGCCCAAAGTCGGTGCTTATTAAATACATGATAAGTGAATGAACAATTGAAGAAGTGAATTAGCAAATGGTGGTTAGAGATCCACCACCACCCAACACCACCCAGTGAAACACGCAAGGGCTCACGTTTGCAGAGCAGGGGACCCTCCGGAAGGCCTGAATGGCACCCAGCCGGATCTCAGGGGTGCTGCTTCGCAGAGACGCACAGGCACTGAGTGTGGGGGTGAGAGCCATGGCTGCCAAGCCCGCATTGCCGATCGCCTTCAGCACAAGCTGGAGCTAAATCAAGATGGAGTCAGGACCACGAGGCGCAGTGGCAGGGCAGGGCAGGGGGATGGGGAGGATGGTGGAATGGGAGGGAGAAGAGGACAGGTATAAAAGGGGGTGGGGGAAAAGGGACAGGGGGAATGGGGGAATGGGAGCAGGGGAAATGGGAGGGAATGAGGGCGGGGGGAAAGGGGGAATGGGAGCAGGGGGGAAAGGGGGGACAGGAGGAATGGGGGCATGGGGGCAGTGGGGAATGGGGTAATCGGGGTAGGGAGGAATGGGGAGAATAGGGGAACAAGGGGCAGGGGGAATGGGGAAAAGGGGGGGTGAGGGAATGGGGATGGGGGAATGGGGGAAACAGGAGGCAGGGGGAATGAGGGGCAGGAGGGAATGGGGGAGAAATGGGGCAGGGGAAATGGGGGAAAGGCATGGCTACATTCCAATAAGATGATTTACAAAACAGCACAGTGTCTTGCCACACGGGCAGTCTTTAAATGTCTTGGTGTCCCTAGGCCCCTTCCTAAGAAAGCCACCTCTCCGTACTGTGACTCCCTCAATACCTATGGGCTTCCTCCACAGCCAGGTTCCCACCCCCACCCATCCATCCACACCCCCACCCATGCATCCACCCAGCCATCATCCAACCAGGGGGAAATAGGGGGACAAGGGGGGAAGGAGAGAATGGGGGGGAAGGGGGAACCTACCCCACCCTCTCCACCTAGGGCTTTCCTGCTTGGCTTGAGCCCCACTGCAGGCACTGGACCCAATACCTGGGACACTGGATGTCCTCACCTTGTCAACTTCTGAGGGCTCCCGGAAGGTACAGTTCTCACCCAAGGCCTCTCCCAGGATGCTCACTAGGGAGCTGACTCCAGGCAGCTGCCCGCAGGGCCCATCCAGAGAAGCACAGAGGTTGTGCACCAGGGCTGAGATGCCCAGGAAGGCACTGGGGCTGGCCCGTGGTGTCTGGAGCAGTGGCTGGGGACAGAAACCGGTTCCCACCCTGAGAAGGTGATAAGCGCCTTTCACAGGCCTCACCGTGGCCACACACCCACTCACCTGGGCACTTGGGAACAATGCAGAGCTGAGTCCCCCACTAAACTGGGGAGAGGGATGTTTGGGAATGTCTGGAGATACTTTGGTGTCACAAGTGGAGAGGGGAAGGGCCACTACTGGCCAGGCTCGCTGCTCAACATCCTCTAACACACAGAACCGTCCCCTCTCCCCAAATAATTATCCAACCCCAAATGTTGACAGTGCAGGGCTAGGTGACCAGTGTTCTGGCCTCTGGGTGGGGTCTGATGCTTTGTCCAGGGTTCCCTACCACGTTCCACTTGGTGTCTGCCTCCCAGGACACGTGGGATGTGCAAGAGACAAAACCTAAGTCCTCTCTTTGCAATCAACTCACAAAGCAAGCTCGCGCCAGCCTGTTCGTCTCCCATCTGCGAAGGCATGCAAGAGAGAAGCCATCTCTCCCGGGACCGGGGGATGCTCAAGAAGATGCTATCATCTCTCTGTGCACAGCAGGGACACGGAACCCAGGAGAGCTGGGCCACACCTCCAGACCCTGCCACCTGCGCCAGCCAGTGTCCTTTAAATAGCATCTCCCGCTTCCAGGCGTAGGATGAGAGGGGGCTGGAGACGGTTCCCAGGACACCGTGCCCGCTACTTGTCAGTGCCCCCTGGGACGGCCCTGAATATCAACAACCTCAAGAACGTAGATGGAGTGTGACAGCTACATCAGTAGAGAGCGGCGAGTTCACCACTGCCCTTGTTTTTAATACCATTCATCTACTTACAACTTCAATCATTTAATTTTTGAAATGGCTGCATTTTACCCTCAGCTTACAAATCCAGCGAGGATCCTGTGATGGGCCCCTTCAGAGGAACATCATGACCTTTCCTGTAGGCTAGGTGAGGTGGCTCACACCTGTAATCCCAGACATCTGGGAGGCTGAGGCAGGAGCATCACTTGAGGTCACAAGTTCAAGACCAGCCTAGCCAACATGGCAAAACCCATCTCGACTAAAAATGCAAAAATTAGCCAGGGTCACTGGTACACACCTGTAATCCCAGACTCAGGAGGCTGAGACAGGAGAATTGCTGGAACCCAGGAAACAGGGGTTGCAGTAAGCCAAGATTGTGCCACTGCACTGCAGCCTGGGTGACGAGCAAGATTCTCTCTCTCTCTCAAAAAAAATACCCTTCCTTTTTCTCTGAGAATCTGTGTCCCGTACCTCGTCTTCCTGCCCTGCCCTGAAATGCAAGCTGGACCCCTTGGGTCTGGCTCCGGGAAGCAGGAGACTGCTAGGGTCCCCCCACCCAGCCCAACCAGGGTCCATCTCCTGTGGACACCAGCAGCAGCCACCAGGCCCAGGCAGAGTCCTCCCGGGGTCACTCCAGCAGCCTGACAGAGTCCACCACTCAGACGCCCAGCTACTCTCACTCCAGGGCACTGAAGGCTTCAACGAAAGGAGGGCAAACAGGAGGGGGTTCAGGACATAGCTGGCCCCTCCAGGCCCTTCAGAGTAATCAGACCAACAATTTACATTTTTTTTGTTTTTTTGAGACAGAGTCTTGCTCTGTCACCCAGGCTGGAGTGCAGTGGTGCCATCTCAGCTCACTGCAACCTCCACCTCCCGGATTCAAGCAATTCTCCTGCCTCAGCCTCCAGGGTAGCTGGGATTACGCGTGCGCCACCATGCCCGGCTAAATTTTTTATTTTTAGAGATGCGGCTTCATCATGTTGGCCAGGCTGGTCTCAAACTCCTGGGCTCAAGTGATCTGCCTGCCTCAGCCTCCCAAAGTGCTCGGATTACAGGCGTGAGCCACTGAGCCTGGCCTAGACCAACAAATCTTTTTTTTTTTTTTTTAAAGATGGTGTTTCACCATGATGGCCAGGCTGCTCTTGAACCCCTGACCTCAGGTGATCCACCCACCTCGGCCTCCCAAAGTCCTAGGATTACAGGTGTGAGCCACTGTGCCCGGCCAACAAATCTTAATAAACAAACTGTACTCACTACAAGCCAGATTCTGCTGATAAGATATCACACACATTGCCTTTCCTCTAATTTCCATTTTGCAAATGAGAAAGCCAAGACTCTGAAACGGTAAGGAATCTGCCTCATGTTGCCAAGCTGTAAATGGTAGAACTGAGATTTAACCCAGAAGGGTCTGGCTCCCAGGTCAGGCATGACCCCAACACTCACTGCTTCTTAAAATGAAAATTCTAGGCTCACTCCTAAAATCTGGCCCTGGGGCACTGGGTGTGAACAGTGGCCTCCGTGCTAGACCCATGCTACCCTAGAACAGAGAATGCTTG